GTTTATACGTTTCCCCCCTCCCCCCCCCCCCCCAACTTAAGTTATACATTGTCCTCAATGCAAAAACAGTCATGCAATGAGAAAAATGAGTACAATAAGGGTAAGAAAACACTTGACATCGAGCTCCAAAAAGAAAAACCACTAGATACAAAACAACAAAGGGAAAATTACAAAAAGAAGTAAGTACAACAAAAGAAAAACACAAGAAAAATTCTAACTACTATGTACAAAGAAAAGATACGAGCTCACAAATCAATCCGGCTTATATTCGTATTTGAATTTGTGCCAATTGAATTTTGATGGCTTATAAATATGGTGTCTAAGCAACTCCTCCAATCTAACCATCCAATCATTTACCAGAAACACTTTCAAAAATTTTACCAAAAGATAAATATACACATTTTTATGAAAATCCAACAATGAGAGAGAAAATGGATTTTTGTCAATTATGGAACTCAATCAACCTTCATAGCCTACAAAGCTTAAAGATGTAAATCTCATTAGTGCTCTTTGATATTGAAAAGTCATTGGGCTCATTAGACTCTTGTGGAATAAATATTTTGCTTAATTCTTCATTATCAATAGTATGAACAGATTCATCCTCATATTGTAGTTTTGGAAAAAGAATTACTCTCACTACACTGACCATGCTTCACTTGTTGTTCTTGGTTCAAGGTAGTAACTACCATAGTCAATGTGCTGAGGATATCTTTAAATTCTTCCAACCCTTAGCTCGTTTGGGCATTGACAATTAGTTGGGTTTGCATAGATTCATCCAAAATATTTTTCAAACTCTTCTCTTGTGTGTCATGGTATGGCGGATATTGGAGTGGTGTGAGAAAGATCGGTAACTGATAATGTTCGTTCTCCTAACTAAAGTCTGGATAGAAAGTTTCAAATCAATGATTGGGGTAAAGTTGTGGAGAGTCCGATATCGTATTAGACTGATCCCAATAAAACTTGCGAACCATTGGAATTGAAGGGCACTCGTCAATGATATGCCCATACTCAGCACAGATCTCACACGTATACTACATAAATGAATCATTTGACACCACATAATTTTTTTTTGAAAACATAGAAAATTATTTACAAAGAAAATAACAAAATTTATGATATTTTACAACACAAGAGCTTGCCTAGGCTTGTGTTGCAAATTACAAGACTTACTTGTTGTTAATACGAATAACAACTACTATAATGAACTCAACTACTGTATTGAAATCAAATGAAAAATAATCAGCTAATCCTTGGAAATCATCTCACTGTAATCAAACTTATTGATTCTCATTTATACCTCATCCAAACTCATAATTAAATTTTACTCGGACAAAAAATATTCAACTAAAATCAGATTTCAAATATATGTTACTTCAAAGATATGTAATGGAATCTAGAATGATAAATACTTAGATGTATTAATGATTTCCAAGCATTACTCATGCCGAAAGAACCGTCAACAAGAAATCAAGGTGAACTCTTAACAACTAATTTTCAAAAATGATTTTTACCATCTATAAACCATACTACATGCTTATAACACAATACATAATCAATAATGCTTAATCACAAGCAAGAATCATCCCTCGGATCGTGCCAAAACTTAGCCAAAAGTAAAACCCAATAAATTGAAATTAGTGTTAAACAACATGTAAAACAAAGGAAAATTGACAAATAAATGGAAAGAAATAGATTCAAATAGGAGTGCTTCAAAATGAGAATTTCAAATTCAAGAACAAGATTCAACAACAAAGCTTTGAAATAGAATTAAAAACACTCTTAACTCGGCAAAACCCTCACAACATAAAACTAAAACTAAAAACTAAAAAAAACTAAGAACTCTCTCTAATATGAGGAAAGATTCCCCCCAAATGTGTATACAAGTGTGTCTATATAGCAGCATCATCCTCCTTTCAATGGCCAATGTGAAAGGTCTGGGTGGTGGTGGGTGAAATGCCGACGAAGCTCTGTCTGCCAGGCTCATCCAATGGAAAGCTCCCATGATGTGTTAGAGGTGCCAACATCCAATAAAATGAAGTTCCTAGGTAGATGTAGCCTCCCTCAAGATGGGGAAATGGATCGAGAATACTTCACGGTGAAGGAATAGGAGCTCAAGACTGGTGTGACATAGTGAGCATATGTTCACCTGATAGAAGAAAAGGTTCAACTGTTTTAAGACTTCGATGAATTGGCAAAAATGTTCATGGTGTCTTGTTAATGGCTGATTAACCCTAATTAATGCATAATTTAATTAAGTTAATAGGTCAATTGTATTAGTTAAACAAAGTTAAACTAGTCAAAATAAGTCAAATTAGGGTTAGTGTGTGAATAAAGGATAATACATTAATTGTTGTTCCTTTCAGAGTTTTGTGCGTCAAAGCTACAAACTATTGGGGAGCCAATTGTATTAAAGCTACAAACTAGTGGGGTGCCAATTATCAAAGCTCAAAACAAAGGGGGATCAAAGAATTCAAAGCCACCAAACAAGACTTTCATGTAATTCATGGTCACCAAATAAGACTTTCATGTAGTTCAAGACCACCAAACAAGACTTTCATGTAATTCAAAGCCACCAAACAAAACTTTCACCCTCCCTTGTTGCCTATAAATACCACCCCTTAGAACTTGTAAAGCATTCATCTTTTGGTAGTGAAAAACCCTCCAAAAGTATTATTGCTTTCTTTATTGCTTATTATTTTCTTTAAGTATTGCTTTCTTTTATTGTATTATTGTTTTCTTTTATTGTGTTATA